CGAGGGGCCAGAGTCATCACCCTAGTGTGCCTGGAAATTTGACTGGCTGCCCGCACCAAGGGAACCTCTGTGCAGAATCTGGAGAGTGTGGTCACTGCCCAGAGTCCAGAGGCTGAGGCCATTACCCAAAAGTGTCTGGAAAACAGCGAGTTACTTTCATTGAGCGCTAATGAAGCCTGCTAAGTTTGGGATACTTGTGACCCCTTCATTCTCTCCAGTTCCTCCCATTTGGAATGGAAGTGCCTTCTTTATGTATGGGTCACTGTTGTAGTTTAGAAGCCAGATAACTTGTGTTTGGGGTGCTGCAGGTCCATAGCTGAAAGGAATTTTGCCCCAGAATGGAACACATTCAAAGTTTTATTTACACTTGATTTAGATGTTTTTAAAGATGCGATTTTGAAAATAGATTTGATGCTGGAATTGGTAGAGACTTTTTGTGATGATGTGATATAATGAATGTGTTTTGCATATGGGAAGGACATGAATTTTGGGCTAAAGTTTGGAAGGTTGTGGAAGGAATTGTGCTCTTCCAAAACATGCATTTAAGTCCTGGCCTCTGTGACTCTGAATGTGATCCTGTTTGGAAATAGGGTTTCTTCTTTTGTTGTATTAATGAAATCACGTGGTGCAGGGTGGACCCATAACCTAATCTGAGATATACAAAGAGCAGAATAAATACAAACACACACTAGTGGAAGACTGACTTCACAGAATTGATGATAATACTTTCCTAACAGTGGCACTGAGTGGATTCATAGACTGTAAAATATATGGCATGTTGCTGGACATATTATAGGTGCTTAGTAAGTGGGAGTTTCAATTATACTTATGTTAATTAAAAGAAATTTGAATTTAGTTTTGCGTTCTGTGATAGTTCTCAGTTCATTTTGCTCCCATGACAGAGTGCATCTCAATATGCAATTAAATAAATTTGGGGGGTGGAAAGTATTTAAAAGTGTTGCAATTTGCAAAGTGTACATGTTGTTGTTACGTGCCTTCAAGTCAGTTCCAACCCATAGCGACCCTGTATAGGATTTCCAAGGAGCAGTTGGTGACTTCACAGTTCAAACCCACTTTGCAGTCCAGTGCATTAACCCACAGTGCCATACGTACTTGATTACAAATACATATACGTACTTGATTACAAATGCGGGTAGATATCAAAATTTGGGTTTTTTTCAATCTTTCATTTTAATTTTTTTCCATATCATTGCTCTGCAATGAAGAAGCAGTATTGCAGACTAACTTTCCATGTTCAAGGAAAATTTGCTGTAGTTATCAAAAATACATTCAGTCAGATCCCTGCTACTCTTGTTTTTAAATGAGATTTTTTTTAAGTTTCATTTTACCAACTCTTAATTGGGCATAATTATTAAAAGGGAATTTTGATGTTTTTCTTGTTCCATCAATTCCTGGTGCCTTATTCTTTGCCAGTAACTTCAATGTACCTTGGACTTCTTCTTTCAGTATCATTGGCTCTTGATCATATGCTACCTCTTGAAATGGTTGAACACCAACCATTTCCTTTTGGTACAATGACTTTGTGTATTCCTTCCATCTTCTTTTTATGCTTTCTGCATCATTCAATAATTTGCCCAGAGAATCCTTCAATAACGAAAGTCGAGGCTTGAATTTTTTCATGTTTCCTCAGCATGAGAAATGCTGAGCATGTTCCATATAGGGTTTACAAGGCTTTAAATCTTTGCAGGAGCAGAAAGCGTCATCTTTCTCTCATGGAGCGACTGACTTGAACCACAGACCTTGTGTTTCGCAGTCCATTGCTTATTATGCAGAGCCACTGTGCTCCATTATATCTGTATATCTATCTGGGTATTTGACATTTAACAGATGCTCAGGAAATGTTCATTGCACTTGATGATTCAATAGATGGATCGATGGATGGTTGGGAGGGAAGAAAGAAGGAAGGAGAATACAAATATTTTATTTAGCTTCTCTTATGTATTTTATAGGAGCTTTAGTAGCAGAGTGGGCTTCCTGTTGGGCTGCTAACTGAGAGGTCAGCAATTCAAACCCATCATCTGTTCTTCAGGCAAAAGATGAGATTTTCTACTTGAATAAAGATTGATAGCCTAGGAAACCCTATACAGGGTCCCTATGAGTCGGAACCAGTTGGTTGGCACAAAACAACAACAACAGAGATATAATCCTGAATGATTCTTAGATCTTGACTTTATTAACTAAAGTGTAGACTTTTACTGCAACAATGTTGTTGTTGTTATGTGCCATGGAGTTGGTTCCAACTCATAGCGACCCTGTACAGGGTTTCCGAGGCTGTGAATCTTTACGTAAGCAGAAAGCCTCATCTTTCTCCCACGGAGCAGCTGTTAGTTTCAAACAGCTGACCTTGTGGTTCACAGCCCGATTCGTAACCACTACGCTACCAGATCTCCTTACTGCAACAATATATTTTATAATTTCTGGATTCAATTTGTCAAGTTGTAGTAATATAGCGTTGTTGTTCTTGTCTCTCCAAATAAATACCTATCCATACCAGTCTGTGCTAGAAACTGGGTTGTGCTGATCTTCCTGACCACTTAAAATTATTGCACAGGAATAATAATAGCAATCAACTTTACTGTTTATTATAATTGGTAGCATACATTATCTCATTTGATTTTCAGAATGGTACCTTTCAAAACGAAGCTATGCATTCAAGCACAAAACTAGACTTAGGAGATTCAAATCAAGCGCCAACACCAAATCACTGTGTGATTTAGGGAAGTGACTTCATATCTCCATGTATCAATTTTCTCATCAGTAAAACAGGAATGATTGAATGTTCCTTATAACAAGGTTGTCATAAAACTAAATGAAATAACACGGGTAAAGTTCTTAGCATGGGCTCTGGTCACAGTAAGCCTTCAATAATTCACTATTATCTTAATGTATAGTAATAGCTGATGGTATTGCTACATAATTTGCCCTTCTGTATTTGGAGCTTCTTATGGGCAGTTTTGTTCATCTCCACATCTCCTCCTATCTTTGAACCTGTCATGGATTAGATACTCAATAAATGATGATTGGAATCAATGAGGTAAACTTTTAAATCAGAAAGTTGTTTTCCAAATAACTAAACTTAAGTTCAAAAAAGTACCCTTTGACCAACTGCTGTGAATCAATCACATACGAGGTTTATGACATATAATCTTCAGGCAACCGTCTGAAAGGTTCAAGTGGGTTCCCCAACATTCACATCTACATCTTTGAGCCCTAAGCTCAGAACCCTTTCCACATAACTCTCTTGCCTCTCATACAAAATATACATGATCATTTTTCTGGGTCAGATACTAATATATAATCATTATAGCATTTGGGGAAATAAGTTATAAGATTAATTGATTATCTAGGGTTTATTTACTTGTTAGATCTCAAAGAAAATTGTCCTTGAACACATACTATTTTTCTGTGCCCTCACTTTTTTCATTCTGAAGAGAAAAGGACAACAGGTAACTAAATGTGAGCATGAAAAAATGAACAAATAAGAAAAGAAGAGTTTGAACAAATATAGAAAGGGTAGGATAAGTGAGTACTTTACAAATGAAAGCAGATGTATGAAATTACAAGCTGTCAGATCAGCAACGGAAATGAAGATGATAAAGTGGTTCCTTACATAGATTATAATTATTCATTTTGCCCAGTCCTGTCTCCTTTCCCTGTAATCCCCATGGGAAAGGGGGTGGGGGTGGGGAGCTACAGCAAGAAAACTGGTGCTTTCAACAGAGAAGAGAAAGAATTAAGAATCATTGTTGTCTTTGGTTCACAAACCATTTTGATTTTGTGATTTGTATCATTGTACTGAATCACAATCATTTTCCTGCATCAGATTTTTTCAACTAACCTTTCTGATTAATGACAAGGATTTATTTAGTTATGACCACAGGAAGTTGTCACTAGAAAGTTTCTTCATACTTAGTATTGTGCAGGCAGGCCGTGTAGCTCAAAAAACAAGCATTGCTAATGGGCCCAAGTGTGACAGTAGTGGCAGGTGGACTGCCAAGAAATGAAGTAGTTTACATAGACCCACCTCAAAAGATGCATTTAATAATTACACTCATCATTAAGTTGGTTTGAAAGAAAATTTAAATGACAGTCTAAGGAACACAGTTAGACTTATATATGAAGGTTTTGACATTTTCCTTCTAAGAAATGATGTACAGATATTCTGCCTAAATTCCTTGCTGCCTTTAAAAAACCAAAAATGGGAAGAAATGCTATTTTCTTCCATTTTGAATTATATCATATTTTTAATATGTGGCACTATGAGATAAAGCACTGGACTACAAAATCAAGCTCACCAGCTGCTCCTTGGAAACCCTACACAGGGTCGTTACGAGTTGGAACAGACTTGATGGTACTTAACACAACACACACACACACAGTGAATAAACATGGAGTCCTGGTGTGGCAATGTAGAAAAAGCATTGGATTGATAGCCTCAAAGTTGGCACTTCAAAGCCAAAAGCCGATCCTTGGAAACCCTATACAGGTTGCTATAGTTGGAACAAACTGAATCACACTACAGTAACACTCAGTAACAACAAAGGTGAATCAATACAGCATGTAAGTTTTGAAGCATAATAATTCAGGTAAATATTTTGAGAAGTTTTTAACTGTATTCTTCCCATTCATAATGTTTTTGTTACTAATATCTGAGCAGCAAAATGCGGGACATTAAAACACAGCCACATAAATAATGACAAATGTGCACCCTTCGGAGCATTCATATTGCAAGTGCACACACATATTTCTACCTGAGGCTCTTTCTCTCCAGACTCCCTCAGGATAACTGCTAGTTTATCAGATTGTAGCCAACAGTACAGTGTGCTGCTTCAAAGGACATTTAGTAGGAATTCCTTCTCCCTACTTCCTTTTATCTAATCAGTAGAATTACTGGTTTGCTTTCTTTGAATCTAAGTTGTTATTATCATAAAATATCTTAAACTGTATTGCTTCTGAATTATTTTTTCTCTCTTATTTAGTGATTTCTAGTAACTACCAGACCTGTCTTGGCCTTCTGATGCATTACCCACCCATGGGAGATGTGCACTCACTAATTCTGAAGGCTCTGTTCCTTCGAGACCCAAAGGTAAGCATTCCAAGTAGGATATACAGTTTTAACTGGTGACAGTTGGTTTCTCTGAATGACTCTTAAAATTCACAATGTTAAGCTTATAGAATTTGCCGCAAGCTTTTAAACCAAACTCCATATGCTTTGTTGACCAACTACTCAGCAGGCAAATTAAGTGGACACTGCCAGAAGAAACGAGTATCCGTCTCTTGTCCCTAAGATGGGTTGTTGTGCCCTCTTGTCTTCTTCACAACTCAACAAAATAGTTAACAACTGCCCATCTTACAACCACACTTCATTGCCATTTGTTGGAAATTGTCTCAGGGGATAACTTAGCAAAGTAGACCCTCAGGGCCATATGAAGGCTAGTTCTATAAAAATTTATGATATAATAAAGTACTAAATTCTTTCATCTTATGAATATTCATTTCTTATTTTGTGGCTATGGGTAACCTAGTAAGATAAAAGTTTAAATAGACTTTACTGTTGATTTCTCTATTTGAGCTTAAAGCATTTCACCAAAATTGGCTTTACACTTCAGAGCAAAAGTGTGCTCTTTTACAACTAATGTTATATTTCTTGAAAATAAGAACATTTAAAGATCTAAAAAAATCTGTGAATCATTTCTACTTTTGAGCCAAACAAAAATATTGGATGAAGTGTGAGAGAGAAAGCTTCAAACAGAAGTATGAGAATGCCAGGCATTGGATGGTAATCCCAGCCTTTGGCTTTTTGGCAGACCTCCCAACAGTCAAGTTGGCAGTTGTCGAACTGCCTTTGAGTGAATCTGTCTGTTGATTATATTGCCAAGTTCTGTCTGATCAACTTGGTCCTCCAAGTTCAACGTCAATTTTGAATTTGAAGGATTTCTGCCCTTTCCTTAGTTGTTACCTTCAACATTTGAGTATATGTATACCTGTTCTTTAATTGTTACAAAATATATTCCCTTATGCCTATATTCATTTTCTTTAGAAATATGCACATTTACAGTATTTAGCTTACGTAGAACAATTTTACTAAGCATCATAATTTCTTCTGTTTTTTTACGGGGCAGGAGGGGTACATTTTTGTTCTGTTTTGTATAGTTATTTATTTTTTGGAAAGTTTAGTTAGTCTGACTATAGAGAACAAAAGTCCTGTTTTTATATTTTTTGTACATAAATCTGTGTGTAGGTGTATATGTGTTTTTTAGAAAAAATAGCCAAGACTAAGAAGAATCTGTGAGAAGAAGAAAGTATGAGATTTCTAGTCAATGAAGTACTTGAGCTTTGGTCTGGAAATTTTAGGAAAATTTTATGAGCTTAATATTAGGAATTTCTGGAATTATAACAAAGGGGGTTGTTAGTTTGAAATTTTTACTTGTATGGTCTGTTTGTTTTAATTAAATAGAGATACCAATATGTTATCTAAACCTATAAATCCTCGTAATTTTTCTGTACTAAATATGGTTGATCTTCTATTCCTACAAATCACTCACTCATCTAGTTGCAAAATTCTGTATACTAAGTCCATCAATGTTGTTATAGAAATCTAAATGCCCTATTATGTTAGTATGACTTTAATAGAGTACTTTTTATAGAGAAGTGTACATAATATAAAAGTATAATGATGCAAATCCTATAGCATTAGAGACGATTAGGAAACTGGAAAAAATGTGTATGCTTAAAGAAAATAAAATAATAGTAGCATAAATGTCTTAAAAAAAGAATTCTTCATCTTTTCAAACATAATCTTCCCAAGTAAAACTTGATCAAGATAATGATCCAAAATCCTGATATTTGTGACACATAAGACATTGGATGTAAGGGAAGTCATGTTTAAAAGTTTCCTTCAGAACAAGTTTCTGGAATGACGATATCTATTGGAAAAGCAAAGAACACTGTTATTGTCTTTCAGATGACTAATTCAGCAAAGTGATAGTCATAGTTAATTGTATATCATCGGTGACACATTGACATCATTTATGAAATGTCGGGCAAGAACTAAAGTCACTTGGCACTTGTGCCAATATCCATAGCAGTGTAGGAATTGAGACTCTGGGTCAAGGCTGGGCTGCACCACCTCCCATCTTTGCAATTTGGAGAAATTCATGCTTGCTGAGTAGTATTGTCCTTTTGTAACATTTGGAAGTTAAATTAAATTCTGGTGATATACCCAGTCAGCACACCCTTTGTCCATAAAGGACTGACTTTCTAATGAACTAACAAGATCCAAACTAAAAAGATACAACTGTTGGAAAAAGAAATTCAGTATGTTAATCTGTACTGTAGAAATCCACAAGTGGACAGAGTTTTCAGTCTGGTTATATTCATTATTGAAAAGACCATTCATGTTTAGGGTAAAAAAGAGAGGGAAAGATGGCACTAATAACCCAACTCCTGTTTCCTAGAACTCCAGACAACAGAGTGTTTTAGATAGTTTCTGTGTATTAACAACAATAATCAAGGTATTTTGAGCTCTCAGAAGTGCATTGTCAACCTTTAGGAAAGCACTTTGTCCTACCACCATCCCTAAAACCCAGTGGAGATTGCTCAGTTTGAAAACACAGACTCAGCACATACAGCTTGAGACACTGTGCTCTGATTGTTTTATATCAGAGGACATTTTTACTGTGGAAAGATTTCTCATTTGAACAAACTGAAATAAATGGGTCTTTTAACTATGATAGTAGGATCATTTTTCTCCACAGTTTTCTAAACACTTTGACATACTTCATTTGTTCCTCACAACAGCCCCATAAGGTAAGCAGAGTAGGTTATCTTTCCACACCCTTTTTTAAGGTTATGTGGCTTTGCCAGGGTCAAAAAAGGATAAAAACTTCCAAGTAGTACTATAACTAGAGTAACTCTCTGGCCCCCATAGCTGCTCTTTGTTATTAAGTCATCAAGTCAATTCCGACCCATAGCAACCCTGTACAGGGTTTCCAAGGAGCAGCTGGTGGATTTGAAACACCGACCTTGTGGTTGGCAGTCCAGTGCTGATCCTACAGTGCCACACCGAAGTCCTGTCCTCCTCTAAAATCCAAAGCATCCATTCTACTTTTCCTGGAAACAATCCCCAGGCTCAGATAGCATGTGCCTTTCCCTTTGAGTCCCTACTAGTACCATCCTGGTTTCCGTCAAGTCAGTTGTGATTCATAGAAACCCTATATGGGTAAGAATAGAACTGTGCTCCAGTGGCTGTGAACTTTGTGAAGAAGATTGCCAGATCTTTCTTTCGAGGCACCACTGGGTCGATTCAAACTTCCAACCTTTTGATACGCAGCTGAACAAAAATCTTGTATTTCAGCTCTTTGTGTATTCGTTTTGCTAGTCATTGTTTCTCAGGACCAGATCATGGTTTTTTTGTTGTTGTTCTTTTTAGCAATTTGTTTTGTGCTCTCTATATGAATACTGTTAAGAAAATAAAGGTAGAATTGAATTCTGACTCAAACACTAACCGTCTTTCCAGTGTACTACACTGAGACGTTCTGTTCCTACAGTGATTTACAGCCTCAGAATCCCTGTACAGAGTCACTATGAGTCAGAACCAACTCAACAGCACTTAGCAACAATACACTTACTCAACCCTAGCCAAGTACAAATTGATCAGCTGTCATTCTTATCAAGGGGACAGTGTATGACAAGTGCTTCCAGGCCTGCCCATCACTTGTCAGACGCTGGGCCTAAAGCTGAAGAACCCAGCGCAGTGCCTGGAGTCTGGGCACAATGGCCTTTTTTTTCTTCGAGTTTTACTAGTTTGAAGAGTTGGTTGTTAGCCCTATCGCTGGCAAATGTCTCACGCTAGGATGATTCTTACAATTCTGGAGGAAACCATGAACAAATGCATGAATTTTTGGGTGAGTTTTTTTTTTTCCTTGGGGCTTCTACTCATATTGGAGTCCTGGTGTGGCGCAGTGGGTTAATGCGCTGAACTGCAAACTGTAAGGTTGATGGTTCAAGCTCACCAGCCGCTCCTTGGAAACCCTTTACCAGGGTCGTTGTGGATTGGAATGAGGTCACTTAACAACAACAAGAACAATTCTTATCAAGGACTCCTGGTGTGGCACTGTAGGATCAGCACTGGACTTCAAACTACAAGTTTGGCAGTTCAAACCCACCAGCTGCTCATTTGAAACCCTATATAGGGTTGCTATGAGTCAGAACTGACTTGATGGCACTTAACAACAGCAACAATTCTTATCAAGACAGTTAAAGGACATTTAGTTCCATAATTTCCTGTGTCAGAGTTAGTAAAAACTTATTACCTTCAAATATTATAGAATGACGAATAATAATATAGATAATATACTTCATTTATCTAGATGATTATTCAGAATTTCATAACTGAAAAAAACCTAGAGATCATCTAATGTAGCCTCCTTCTTTCATAGACGAGCAACCTGAGGATCTAGGTGAAAATGAGAGATTGTATTTGTCAATAGCAGAACCAGCAATTAAACACAGCTCTTTAGACTACCCCTCCACACAAGGAAATTTAACACAGCTCTTTAGACTACCCCTCCACACAAGGAAATTTAACACAGCTCTTTAG